ATAACTTTAATAAGTCACATATCCCCTCTGCTGTTTAAAAATCAACTGTCAATTACACTAATGCCATATTAAAAACATGACATTTGTGATTTATTGAATCTATCATTTCACATATTACTCGATGGCATAAATTTTCTCAACAAACAATCGGCTAATTAATTTATTCCTTTTCTGCAATGCAAATTGGAGAAGATGTCTTTTGAAGCAGTTAATGTTGCCAATAAAAAAAATTTTTGTGGTAGAATGGGTATCTGCCATCACCCCTCCCCCCTTCCACTAATAATATGTATACAAATGTATAAAAGGTGCAGGGTACATAAAATTATGATGTGGGTTTTTCATGGTTAGTATAGATATGAATTCAAAGCTATAGTGTTCAATATGTTGAACAAAAACTAATAAGACAAACTATATGTGGTAATATTTAGAATGTCATGAATATCATAAATGTGTATCATAATCTGCTTTTATTTTTTCATTAAACGACAAATGATTTTTAGAATAGATAATTAAAGTACACGACTTTGTTACTTTTGAGTCCTGAATCCTAGTTTATTGGAAAAAAATAATCTCATAATGAGAATTTCTTCAAGAACAGATAATAAAATTCAGTGGATATTAGAACAAATTCTTGTAAATACAATTATTTACCTTTGGTTATTGCAAGAGTACATAAATACAGAAAATACTAAATTGATGTTTTATTCTATATGCATGTTACCGGTAATACCTATTCAATTTTTTTCTTGAATGTCTACATTTTGAGAAAAAAGATGTCTAGGGCTAAAATTTTAATGTTCAAAAACATTTCTCGTAGCCTTTTCGAGTTGATATTTAAAGTCATGCAATGGCAAGATCAAAATAACTCTAAAACCTCTTAATGCAAGTTTTAAAATAAAAATGAAATTTTTTTTCAGTAAGAAGCAACATTTCAGCTTCATCAGAAATACCAATATTGATTCCAGCAGAGTAGCTATAAACACTGCATGTCAAATGCATCTGAACCAGAAAATGGGCACCGGCCGCTTTCATGTTCTTAGACGATTATGATTTATCTCCCTTACCTGGACATGAAACATGACGCTTATGGAAGTGTCTCCCAGCTTGCTGAATAAAATGTTGCCTCGCTGCTTCCATTATCTCGGAAAGAAAACCAAGTTCGTTCTCATTTACAGTTTCTTGTCTAATCCAAGTGAGTATGACGAAGAATTTTCACAGTACCAGTCCTTAAGAATACCTCCAATGTGTTAATGGCAAAAAGATGGGAACACTATGGGTGTCATCTTGTAATCAAGGTATCCATGTTGAATCACATGATTTTTTCCCCATCCAGTTCAGTGGACAAGGTTAAAAAGAGGAAATTTCTTGATCAATCTTTAGAAGGCTTAATCCCTGAATTGAGAGGACATTCCCCCTTCAAACTTGCAATCAATCTCAGTTTTTATTTCTCAAGCAAAAGGATTTGTCAGTAATTTCCCATATCATGTATACAAATCTGCACTCCACATGAAATCATTGAAACTATAGGCATTTTCTAAAGATCACTGAATCTAAACAATAAACAGGGTACAGAAAATATACTCAGTGTACATGTACACCTTGAAAACCTTTGTTCTAATATCAGATTTCTCATTGGTATTTTCAGATAAGACACACGGGCAATAGGTGACTATACCCCAGAAAATTTACAGCACAATCAGTCCTTGATCAAACAGTTAATGAATCGGCATGCATTATTGGCAAAAGGGAATTTCTTTCAATCCAGCACATGAATTGCATAACACTGTCACTTTTTAAAGAAATTTAAATGCGATGAATCTTTTTTCCCTGGCTAATGAATGGTGAGAGGGCTAAAAAAAGTCATGATTTTTATCAACGAAGGTCAAACAAAAGCTTCCAGAAAAAACAAATGGTGTAAATCCCTGCTATAGACAGTAAGATTGAGTCTATGACTTTTACTGAAATACAATGTACGTCCTGGTCAAAATTTCCATAACTTGGTAAACCACAAGGTAGGTATTACCATTCTAAAGAGCAAAATATCACCAGATACTAATAGTCATGTTAACACAAGCAGTCTGTCACATGTATATTCAAAAGTAACTTGGTACAATATCTAAGAAAATGGCACCTCAATAAAATGGTCAGGCATAAGCTATTCTCAGAAACTTGAACATCACTGCAAATTTTTCCTGTTGTTTTTATATGTGATCAAATCCAATACCGATGAGTATAAAATTACCACATGTGTGTTATACATGCCTTTCCAGTTTCAATCCGTCACAAACCTGTTTAACTGAAGTTTAGATCAATACCTTTTAGATATGTCAAAAGGATAGAATAAGATACAATAGTGTCTGGATTCGTTAGACTTTCTCCTTCATTTAACAGATATGTGTCTCAGACATATTGCTTAAGTGCCCTGGACTAGAGTAAAAATTCTCCTTTATTCAGCATGGGACTATAGAGTAAATTCAGATGATTATCTCTACGATGGACAAAAGAACAAAATATTTGACACTGTCAGCCCTCTAGACATAATGCCATTACAAAGCTGTCATTTTCAGTTGTTAAATTCACACCTAAAGCATTCATATTTTTTCATGTTTGACAGTTATTTATGGCTCGTCTTATAGAATCAAATACACAAAGCACTGCATGAGCCTTATTTGGTTTTCTTTACAAATGTGTTAGCTAAGTATAAACAGATCTACCTTACATATGCGAACATTATCAGCTCTTCTTTTTTTTTCACAAACTAATGAAACTGCGAGTGACAATGCACCTCTATTCAAAATGTTTGAGAGGTGCGTTCTCAATAATAAACTTCTGCATTTGCACAATCAATTCAACGATTCCACCAAAACATGAATGCATGCATGCAAATAAAACCTTTGCAATACCAGAATACCACCACAAGATAAAAAAGAAATAAATGATCTTCTAAAATAGAACCACAAAATTTTCAAAATATTACTTTCAATGATATATTGAGGTATATTTTAAAAGTCCACATGTTGTAATGCTTACTTATAGTTAAAAATTGCTAGAATAATAGAGGAAAACAAACCTTTGGGCCCATAATGTGCAACCATGTCTTTACAAGCTTATGTTCTGAATAGCTCAGTCACTGATGTATAACGTGTACAAGAAAACTAACTTCATGTATTGATGAGTAGTGTACATTTAATTAACCTTCACCTAATGACCTTAAAATAAAATACAAGTCATTCATCTCATTATCCATCATTACACATGTGTTTTATTATTTTCCCTTTGAGGCCTCTCTCTTGAGATGAACCAGACCAATAAATGGAGGTCATCAAAAGAAGTAGTGATTGGTCAGATAAAAAAGGACTGTGATCTGATGTAATCTTGTCTATCACGGCCCACTGATCTAAAGGATGGGAGAAACTAGCGGTCCTATATATAGGCCAGATATTGAAGAGGTTTGCTAAAGATTAAGTGTGATATTTCCACAGACATTTTTGGACAAGAAAGTAAATAATGAGAAAAAGCCAAGCATGATTACTGATGTTTGCTGCAATTCTAAAATTTATGTTCAAGAACCAACTTCTTAGCCACTGTCAAGAGCAGAAAAAACCTTTTTTTTGACAAAACTTGTTCCTTGTTTCTTAAAGGTAGGGAAAAACAAAGAAGAAAGAGTAAACCAATGATTAAGCATCACAGTGATAAAGTAAAATGATCTGTTTTTCCGATGATGTATAATGGCTAGATTTTCATATTTGTTTAACCTATCAAATTTTTGATTAAATGTCAGCTGAGCTGTATATTTCACAGGATCCCTCCCTGCTAGAGTTCTTAATCCCCCTTCTCTTGGCAATATTGACCATGGCCATCTCAAATTTCAGGTCACCGTAAAGAGTACAGCAAACATTTATCAAGGTTCATATTTATTCAAAGAGAACCTGCTACAGCGACATAGGTTTTCTTTCTTGATCTGTTCAGTGCCACACGGAATATACTCTGTAAATCTTACGCCCACATTGCTATGTGATCATTGTCTCCGGATACAAGCTTGCATGTATAATTCTATCCCTCCAATACCGCTAAACTATGAATAATATGATATCAATATTCATGGGGAAGTCTGTAAATTAAATTATGATAGCTTTGTGTATTTGTTTACTGTAATAAATTGTACCATTGATCAACCGATTGTCTAGAAGACCGTAGATCTGCAGACATGTATTGGACTGATAATGAGGGGTCAGTATCTAATCAATCATCATTAAACATAGCCTCCAGAAACACAAAACACACTCCATATTCCAACCAAAACAACTCTGTTTGCCTTTTTTATGCCCTTAGATAGTCCTTTATCAAATACATTATCCACCTGAAATGCATTTAGTTGGCATGTTGCTTATGCATATTTCATGCAGTTGTGATATACTTTTTTTCACTTATAAATCCTTTTTTCCGTTGTTAATTAAAATGTGTAATTTTGTGCTTTCTAAACCAATGCATGCCTAACAAAAGTTCTCATTAACCCCTGTTTTGTACTTAAGAAGGGCCTTAGCATTGCATGGAAGATTTAAAACTTGGAAACAATTACATTTATCTTCTTAAGAACAGATGAAAGTTTTTGTCCCTAATGAACTAATTTGGAAAAACAGATGAGGTTTCACTTGTCCTTACACATAAAACAGATCTACAGCAGCAATAAAAATGAACAAACATTAAAAACCGAATATGACAACCATCAAGGTATCTCATAAATAACCATTAGGACCAAAGCATAAGAACATATCAAAGATACCAATGTTGTTCTTTCGAAACCTAATAATCATTGGAAACTAATCTCTTTGTTTTGAAGGAGATGGATATGCTTATCCTTTCCTTCAACTGAAGGACAAAAGATTATGATCTATAAAGATCTTTTTTCAGTAGGCAAATGATAAATAATCATCCAGTAATTACAAAGCAAAGGTAAACTGGCAGGAAATAGAGGTCTCCAGGGAGGGTAGATTTCCTACCTTTAATGTTGAGGGTGTTTCCTCCCAAGAGGAAGCACTCACAGTCCAAGGGTAGAGGTGTTTTGGAGGCCTCCACAAATGCATTTATTCTGTTGATGTCCATCCCTCGCCTCTCTAGAATGGGTTGAATAGATGCCCTGCAATATTGAACCATTACATGTACAAAATGACATGATTCATGGTCATGATCATATCAATAAACTTTTGATCTTGAACAAAAGGTGTTTCAGAATAAAACATACCCTGGTGACTCTCAAAAAAAAAAGATACAAATTAAAAGGACAACTGTAAAAAGTTTGAGAACACAAGAGTTCTAGGGATCACATTCAAAATTTAGCTTCTTTTTTTCAAAGTGAAGTCTCAATGGTCCAGGATTCTCCAAGTCTCCTCTGTAAATCTAATGTGCAAGGCCGGTGGGACCCAAGGAGAAAAAAAGCTCCTGTATTTATAGAGATTTTGAAGCTTAGAAATGAAGTCTTCTTGATCAGAAATAATTAAAATATCTACTGAGACTAAGTCAGTATTAATGATAGAAAGTCTGTGGATTCAAAGTCTAGGAGTCAATTAAGTATCCAAAAGCTGCTCTCCTGTTTTGCAAAAATACATGTGTAGAAATAAAGTGTTTACTCAGTTTTATCTGGAGTTCAGAAATTTCAAGGGAAAGGGGGAATAGTGTACAATTTATAAATAAGCAAGCTATGAGTGAAAAGGGGAATAACTCTATTTTCTTTTCTAAAAAATAAATAAAATTAAGGCTATCTAAATTTAATTACTTGGTTCTCAGGCCAATTTTCTCCAAAACAGATGCGGGAGGGCGGCATTTTATTTTTCATTTTATTGGCAAAAAAAGTAGATGAGGGAGGTATTTTTTAATTTTAATTTCCGAATTTTCTTTAACATAAAGATAATTTTTTTAATCACAGATATACTTTCCATTTCTGGTCAAAATTTCTGCTTTATCCATTGCTTAACAGCGTGTAAACATCGTAGGTAATGTCCTTGAATGTATTTTCAAACGAAATTACCAAAATCTCATTGTAAATGGCTACCGGAAGTGATATTTGAATACTAAACTAAGAAACAAATGAGGTCGGAATTTTTTTTCCCGGATTGGTCTCCGCAATACCAACTTTTTATTTTATCAAAAATACAATAAAATCGGCAATGCGGCTACCTCAAAACGGATGCGCGCGGGCCTGAGAACCAAGATTTCAATTTTATATGGCCTAATAAAAAAATTTTTTTATTCAACTGCTCGATTTATCAAAATGAAAAATTGAGATTGAGCCCTAGCTTGCAGAAATTAAGGTGTGAGACATTAAATGTCACCTGTACCTAACTAGTCTCTAATTATGTTAAATATTGATTATTAAAGATATCAACAGGAAATTTAATGAAACCTGCAAACACATGTGACATTCTTAAGTTTATTGCAGACCTGCCTACCCTTTTCATTGCAAGGGTGAAATTTCAGTATATTTTTTATGGAATTTCAGAGGTAAAAGCATAATTAATCATATTCTCCTTTTATGGTGTTTTACTATAATATTTTATTTTCTTTTAAAACTGATATTGTTCATTACAAAACAAAGCTGGCATAAACTTTTTTTTTTCAAATCATTTATTGGCAAAAAAGTGTTGTTAAATATCAGTACCCTACATCAAACTCAATGCAACCGTACACCCCTAATGAAGCATTTGGTCAATTTTTATGAAATTGCTTAATTGAAAGCTTGCGTTTGCATGTTTACACAAATCGCGTACCTCATAACATTGTAATTTATCTTTCTAACACTCACATTTCTCCATCTTGTTCTATGTGTAAGCGATGTGAAAATAAACTAAAATGTTCATAGAAATGGCTCTACTTATTGCACATATCATTTAACAGTTAACGTAAGTAGTGCCATCTGTTCTTTGTTCGAATATTTGGTAACCAGTCTACATGTAACTACAAGTTATATTACGTAAAATATCAAATTGGTCATCTATTGATTACTTTTATTAGAAGAAATTCTCTTTTTGTTTCAGCAGGTCATGCTTTAACTCTAAATTTAGTTACAAAACAAAGAAAAGCTGGAGACCAACACCTTGAGGTTAAAATTGCGGAAGATTCTCACGTGTGGATACCGAAAGGTATTCAATAGGGTCTGTAACTAAAGTTATAAACTTAAAGTTCTAAATTTAGTTGTCCATTAAGGATTTTAAACCAAGATATAAAAAGCATAAAATTAATATCAGTGGCGTAATAGCGTAATTTTGTGGTAAAAAGCGGAAGAATTACGCCAAAAGCGGAAGGGTAGGCAGGTCTGTTATTGAATTCTACCTTAAACTGATGCCTCTGACAGCAGCCACTACCTCCAGCTCGTTATCAGCAATGTCCACAAATCTGATGGTGAAGCATTCGTCACTGATGGCCGACTGAAATATTACACAGATACTGCATAAACTCACATTAAATACTAGAAAAAAAATTATTTTCCGATCAATTTCCACTTATATCATTCTATTTAAAGCATACCTGCATTGCACATTTTATTTTAAATTTCAAAAAAAAAAAACTGTTCAATGCCCAATTTTAAGTACAAAGATCAAACAAGTTATAAATGAAATGCATTCACAAACCAGTGAATAATCTAGGCCTGCAATCTTTCAATTAAGGTGTATATAAAAATCAATCTTGTGGAACATGGATTGATATAAACTGCACCAGTCTGCATTTTATACGATCAATAATGAAATAAATATCATTTAAAATAATATTTTTAAATGCTGTAGTAAGACACAGCTGTCACATTTTAAATTATAAAAGTGTTTACAAACCCTTGGATAGAAGTTACAGAGATATGAATCCTTGCTTAAAAACATTTTAATATGAAAAAAATATATTGTCTTATAGAAATGAGAGGTGTTAATATTAAATATAATATCTGAGATTGAATTGGAGAGTTTGCCAAGTGTCTAATAAACATGTACTTCTTACAATGAAGATACGTACATGCTAATATATCATAAGTGAGTTTAGTGACAGACTGGTTATTGGAAAAAAGGTTGATTTAGTATAAAAGTTAGTATAAGAGACAGGATTTCTTATCAGAACTAAATCAGTATGTACACAATGTGTTTCAGGAGAATAAATTTGAAATACAAAGCCTTCTGGTTCTACATTTTAGATAAATAGTGACACATCTTTTGTTTTCAAACAAGAGTATATATGTCAAACTGCAGAGTTTTAAATTAATTTTTGTATGTCGATCTGGGTAGCTTGATAATTCAACTCTGTATCATTTCAATAAAAAAGAAATGGTTCCCACTTCTTTAATTAATTTTCCCTTATCTCATCCTTATTTTGTTTCAATTTAATGTTGTATATTGTTAATCAAGTTAGAACTAGTGTTGGCAACGAGTACCCGGTTAACCGGTTAACCGTCGAACGATGCGAGTATCGGTTAGTAAAACTGCTATTCGGTTACTCGGATAAAAATACATTTTTCATAGTAAATACGTATAAAAGAATTTTTATGTTATTTTTAAATGTATATTGACACATTTCCTTAATTTAATTACCGTTAGGTTTGCTCTAATGGTTCACAAATAGGATCGATTTGTTTTGATTAGTTTAATTGATGTAGTTTAATTGGTGGCTTTAATTGCCAGGGGTACACGTTTTGAAGACCTGAGTTATAATTGCCTCATTTAGACCTAGTCAGAGGAACATACTTAAAGCAAGATGCCGCCGTAAATATCTAAAGCATGGAAATATTGTTAAAGAATCGCTGACTCGAAATCTGTCAAATTGCAATTTATGTGAATCGGAGTTGTCGTAAACGGGTGGGACTACAAATATTCCGTTATGCTAAATCACCAAAGATTGAAAAATAATTGGATAATCAGTGACTTGTATGAAACTCAACAAAAATAACAAAAATTGCAAAGTGTTACAGGGTATGTTAATCCTCCTCGATCGCAAAAAATTCTACGGGTGTCGATAAAGTTATTTTCTTTAACAAAAACAAATTCCCCGTTTCAAGAAACATTTTAAATAAAAATTCTTCGAAGATGTTGTGTTTTTGGAGTTTGTATTTGTAAATAAAGTTCATATATGTAACATTTATCTCTTTCTATCAATATGTAAAAGAATGAGATTGATAATAAATACAGAAACTATAACAAAAAATCATCCGAGTAACCGGGTACTCGATCGGAAGATTAAGCGAGTAACCGGTTACTAAAAATCGTCCGATTTGCCAACACTAGTTAGAACCCAAAGTTTGTTATATCTATCAGTTAAATTCTAGATGAATTCTAACATCCTAATTCAAGATGAATTCTAAAAAGGAAAAGAAATTTAAAGTGTTTTCTGTTGCAATTTTTCTTGACAATTGTGTAAACTGCGACGGTAATGAGCAACATAATACCAAACAGCAAATTACACAAATTACAGTTTATTCTGTGAGATATTTTGTTAATTCATATATAGTGTGCTAACAATGGATATACATGTACTTATATATACAAAAAGTTTGTGCTTTGCGGGGGGGCATCCTTACTGCCGTATATTAACGTTTTCTATATTTAGACACCTTTGACTGTTTGTGGAATGCTCCCGAGAGGTCCTCAGACATACGTCTATACACGAGATCGCTCTCCTCCTCGTCGGAGTACAGCTCGCTACTGCTGTGGTGAGACTCCTAGAAATCAAGGAAGGGATCAAAAGAAAGTGAGAGGGTGTGGATCAAAGTTCTGTGTAGGTGGTGAGGGTTAGTATTTAAACAAATCCTTATTACCAACAACATCAAAATTATTATTTAAATACAGTATATAAATCATAAGCAGAAAATACCTTTACAATTATATAATGTATAAAAGCATTTTACTGTATAAGCAACCACTGCAATCTAATGTGTAAATATTTCAAGAAAGATAACTGTTATTATTTTCCCACTTTGTTTTACACCGTGCCAAACAACTCACGTCTGTGTGTCTACGCTTTAACTTCAAGGCTTTTTTCCTCTTCAGTTTGAGTTCTGCAGCAGAGGGTGTGGGTGGTGGACGGAACCTACAAAATACCAATAAATTTACAAACAGGCTTCAGTTGGTTCATGCATATTCAAATATCGTTCGACCATCGTAATGAATGCATATTCAAACCATAGGCAATGGCTGCCCAATCCATTATGACAAAATATGTTAAAATCAAAAGAAAATCAATTCATTAAACAATAATTGGACATAAACAAGAATTAAGAATGTTATATTCATCTGATCAGAAGAGAAAACTTTCAATACATCAATTAAGACTGTAAGATATTGATAGATACCAATTAGGAGTCTGTATATTTTTAAACTTCATGAATACATTTTAATACCTGTAATGTTACTTAAATTATTTTGATAAATTCTAATATTTAAGATCTGTAATTAAAAATCTTCATAATATTGTAATATTTGTAAATATCTGGATCGAAGTATTTTCTCTCTGTCCCATTGAATTTGTGGCTTGACTGTAGTTACATTGTTAATTTTGATATATAGTCTTAACCTACTTATCCATAAAAGAAAAAGTTTTGACAATAACATGAAATTGAAGATGATAAACATGACTACACAGCTGACTTACTCGTGGACCTCTGGTTTCTTGATATAAATCCCGTCCACATCGTCTCCGTCCTCCGGCTCAGTGTGACGACGATTGAGCTCCGCGTGCGATTCCCTCCGTGTTCCGAGATTGGGAGACGATGACCCGCGTCCAAGCTGAGCCAGACCTACAAAATCAAGTTCCCATTTAATCACGTAAAACGAGACTTCAAATAAGGGTCCTAGAAACACAATGACTCGGCCCCCTCGTCACATTTACATTGACGGAAAACTATACGTGGATTGCAACACTTGACATTACTGACTCCTATTTCACCCTGGGAAATCAACTGGATACGATTACAGTCCTTGAAAGAAGTTGTGGTGCTTTTTGTACCCAGGGTACATGTGTAAAGTTTGATTCATAACGATATGGTTTACATGCTGGGAGCATTCAATCTGATATGGGATACCATCATTTTTTTTATAGCAATTAAATTGTTCAGGTAAAAGTGTCACGTATTGAGAATGATCAACTCAAAGAGCTATACTGTGATTTAAAACAGGTTATCAATCCAATTATCGGAACAGTACAGAAAGTTTATTTTAGGCAGTCTATCACGTTTATTCAGTATATTGGATCGGGGGTGACATTTTCAACAAAGTAACTTGTGTTGACATAACGTCCAAATTTAACTTCAAAAGTTTGAAAAACCCAATCAAAAAAGCAATAAAGAGTTTGTTCTTCATGCCCAGTGTCAAATGCTGACAAAAACCTCACAATGGCTACATCACACAGATTTTATCAGATTGATGTCTAACCATTTCGTTCTGTCTAGATTTTCATCAATTAAAAGTCAGTAAATATTCTATAACTGACTCAACAAAGCTTAACTTGATAATGACTATATCCCTCCTTGTTAAACTCAAGGTTTTGCTTGACATTATAAAATATCTGAATTGGATATCATTTTTTAAATTGGGGTAGAACCCCACCCCCCTAAATACTTTGATCCATACCTGCTTTTCTCACCTCTTGGGATTATCAAATGTTCTATATTCATTAAATATTAATACACTATTAATGGAGCCCTACCGAGTTTCTTTTTGGGAGCATCGAGGACAAGATGATTGCTATTCTGAAGGTTCCCGTGAATGCGCTTATCGCAGGGCTTACACATAAGCAGCGGATGCCCTCCATTGCTCTCGGAGCAGTCAGGATGGTGACAGACCTACAAAACAAATGATTATGATTTCTGTTAAAAGAGGAAAAAGTTCTGCTTGGTTGATCTTACACAACACGGATAAAGATCTCATGATTGTCTGTCTCTCTACCAAATCATAATGCGTCTTTGCACCTGTTCATCCTCTTGTTAAACTTTAATTTTGCTTTATTTATGAAATCTCAGACAGATTAAATTGTACTTTTCTGTTACATTTAACATGTTTAATGGCAAAGAGAACAAGCTGTGTTAAATAAATCTGCTTTTCACAAAATACAAAGCATACTTTATTACTTATTTCATGTTCTGTACAGTACTTTTACTAACATAAAAGATCCTAGTGTTCCAACAGTCACAATTCAAAACACATTTCAAAAGTGTCTGTGATTCTAATACATTTTAATTATACACAATAAACAAAATCATGTTTTGGTGTGTCTAAGCCCACCCAGGTTTTCAAAAACATCCCTTGCTTACATGTGACTTAAAAACTTGGTCTTAAAAAATACTGTAAATGTATTATATTTAGCATGTACGATACTTGGCGGAAATTGATATTTGCACATTAGTTAGCATAGATTTGATTTAGCGCATTTCTCAGTGTTCCTATGTATATGTGCAAGACATTTAGCGTTGTTCTTGAATTAGCGGGAGTTTCACTCTGGCAAAAGCGCTAAAAAGAATACACACATTTACAGTAACTGAAATGCACATGCATATTTGATATTTGTTCTGGATTGTGTCATGTCATTTGTCACTAGTATTACAACATTTAAATGAATAGAAGTCAATTTCATGTACACCATATGGAAGATGCATGCCTTGCTTTGACTTTCACATGTGTTTAAATAGCAACTGCAACACTGTAAATACCTACCATGGCTTGAAATGACTCTGTGACAGTACAGCTTTCCCCTCCCCCTTTTTTGGGCTGTATATCTACCACTGTTACTGTGATTCCATATAGACAAGGTTCACTCAGGGCTTTAACAATATCAGAGTTCCGACCTTTCTTAAGTTCAGATTTATCTATGTTGAATCTAACTCTCTTTGATACAGATCCTTTGCCATCTTTAATGATTCCATTCATATGTTCCAAACTTTTTGGTGATTTAGATGGAGAATCACATGTGTTACTGGGTGATTCATTATTCGGTGAATCACTATTGTTATTTGGCGAATCTTGATTATTTAGTGCGTCACTGGTGTCCTCATCCTCACTAGAATCATGTTTAATAGTTGTATAGGGGTGCTCCTTGTCATCATGCTCACGCTGTATAACATAATCTAACGCCTCCAGAACAGATCGAAGATCTTGGCTCTCAGTCTCCCCATCACTGCAGGAGGAGGAAGAATTGTGCTCCAGAACCATAGAAAGGGGGGAGGGATTTCTATCAGGTTGTGGAACAGACAGAGTCTCTTTCTCCTTCTTGTTTTCAGTGGAGGGGGAAAACAAGTCATCATAAGCAGACACGGGGGAATTGGGGAGCCCACTATCAGGGGAGGAGGGTAGCAATGGACTTCTCTTCTGCTCACTAGCTAATTTTAATGGACTTTTTCTCCTGGGCCAAGAGAAGCCATATTCCAAAATTGGTAAGAAAAAGTTCAGTGGAGATGTCGGTCTGCTGTTACTTAGAGGGGGAGTGTCCACGTTGTCATCGTCGACACTGCTATTGGCCTGAAGCTGGTAGATCTCGGATGACGAGTGAGATTGGCGTTTGAGTTTGATTTTCTTCTTGGAGGCTGATTTTTCTGGAGATGACAGCTGTCGGGCTGCCTGGACTTTGATCTTCTTTGGCTTGCTTTTCTTGGGCATCCTGATCCCGATAAGTATGTGCAATCAGCAGAACCTGAGCAATATCATTGAAAGGAATCAGCACATTCTTTACATTTTCCAATAGTATTGCCATGAATCATTTTTTATAATCATCCAAGACAATGGCCAAGAATTAAGACACAGCATTTTCTTAGTACACAATCCCTTCATCTGGAATTAACTTAGAATTCCAAAATTGAAGAAAGGTTAAACTGATGACTATATTGAACGATAAACTTTTACAGTAAATTTCTACTCTTCTTCAGATTTATATTCATTAATCTATCAGGAATGCCAACCCTTCCAAAACACAATAAACCATAATCCATCGAATATCAATACTAAATGATTAGCAGTCAACAATAGATCAACAATCCATTCAAACCAGGCCATAAAGTCATAAAGTCCATTTAAGAATTAATAACCACCTCAGGAACACTAAGGGCACATTCCTTATTATCTCAGACATTTTTAAACATTTCAGTACATGTACCGGGTATGGCTGGACCCAATCTTTAATGTTTACCTATTCAAAAAAGCATCAGTTTCATTTATATAGGCTTCTGTTTTCCACTTTTCCTGTAAGTCAAGCAATTCAGAACTATAGCTGCCTATCTGATTGGCTGTCAATTCAAAGACCTTTGACCAAATATGATTTCAAAAATAGTCCACGCTTGTAAACAAATACAAAATTAGCCATTCAATGACCACATTACTGATAATCCTTCGCCCTTCTAACATTACCACAACCGGTACACGAGACCACTAAAGACCATTTCTACCACATTATTTGGACAAAGAACTTATCACTATGAATCAACAGTGCAGACAAATGGAAACTTCACTCAAGTGCCTTAGACAAAGCATGTCATTTTTGGGGATTAACATTTTGAATGAAATTTGTATGAACTGCTATATGCTAGTTTTACAATTATTAATTTCAATTCCAAACTACCCACTAGAAACATTACTATAAGCTTATATGGACTTTAAAATGTTGTATAATTCCCACACATTTATGATTAAAATTTCCCACAAGAATTACACGAAGCAAACAAACATGAAAAGATAACATTATCTCTCCTACAGAATCTAAAGGTGATAACAAAAACATCCTGATATTCGAGACAACCATTACAAATAAGAGAATCAAGGCACCGAACATCACCTGTCTGGCAAGAATAAAACATTTTTTTTTTTCATCCAGAACAGAAATTCTAAAATCAAAGAAATGTTACCACAAAATATTTAACCTGCAAAAATCAATATATGATAATTAACTTTGATCGAAGGTATGTATTAATAAATTTTATGAAAAAATGATTGCACATTTACAAAAAGTATTTAGCTAAACATTTACACTCAAAAATCATAAACTCCGTACCTACATTGATCCAAATTTACCAAAGCGTCTCCAAAAGATCATTCCATCTTCTCTTCAGAATGACACAATTTTTTGTTCGAATATTGAAATGTAAACCTATAATTGAAAACTTTTTTTCACCATTCAAACACCCCGTATACAATCTTGATTTAAATAACCTTCACTGAAAACGCCGACTTTTTTTCCCAAAACCTGCGACTAGAACAGTATGATATTTCCTTCCTTGCCCAGTCAATGGGACTGACCTGGATCTGAAAACATGGCCCTAATTACAGCACCTACAAAGACATGTGGCACCTGCTTCGCAATACACCTTAGAACATCCTTAACGAGTTACGCAGGCATAAAACGGTTTGCTAACCTCGCTGATCAATGCTGAATGGGCCTCTTATCTACTTAAATCCTCTTTTTTTTCAACATCTTTATGACTGGTTTGGAGTTCACGGGATGCAAACAATGGACTATGTTTTGGGAGCTCTAGTTATTATTCCGCATTATAATCATCAGTGTTTACGCAGATAAAAGAACTCTCAGCAACTGTCATCTCTCAAGAGAACTGTAATCCACCCATACCTATCTGTTACATAAGACGGTCAGTCCGGATCAAGCTGTACTATTGTCGATTATCTGCAATGGTCCACTAAAGAAGGTGACTAATTGTTTAATAAGGCTCATCTTGTTAAGTAAAAGTTAGTACAACCCTGAAGAGGTGGGGGGATTTAAACCTAACAATTGGCTCCCGCTGGGGTCTTTTATAGTCCTCCGAAAAATGGTTCCATTTAAATCCGGGGTTGTGTCATCCAACAGGAAACAAGGTGTGGTACAGGAAAATCACTGATATCACTTTTTTTGCTGAAGTTTCATTGTCAATTAATATCCGGATGATTTGGAGATGAATTTCAATGATCGTGATTCAACCATCTGATAAGTTTTATGTGGACTTCAAAAGCCGTGAATCGAGCAGTTTATGGTAATTGATAAAAACACATTGGGGTAGTCGTCTGTGTGTGTTGATTTATTCATTTCTAGCAATCAGCAACTCAAAAGAAATCAGGGATAGGACTCTAAAAAGAGCTACTGAATCGTGGCAACACATACTCAACATGGAGACAACCTGAGGTGAAGGTCATAGGTCACCCAGGATGTGAGGTTTTGCACAACTTAAAGACTCATTCTCTCACAGACAAGTGGTTTTTAAGTAAATGTTTCATGCTTTCATATTACACAGAATGCAAACAAAATCACATACCAGGTGCACATTATCTAATTCCTGCAAGTCTGCATATTGTTTATTCTGTTATCAATCATCTTCAAACCTTTATTTTATGGAATTTTTTTTTTTTTTTGAAAAAGGTGTGTCATTATATTTTTGAAAAACAATTTACTTTTAACTTTGAAAGTTAAGTCATATACTGGACGACTTTTTCCACCTCTGATCCTGATGTTTCCAATATCAACAGCTTATTTGCATTAAGTTCATCACAATAAATGCCTGGAAGCATTTCACTATAGACATACTTATCAACACATCTATTGAATATCAGTTGATAAAGAGCATTTTAACAAGAACTTAAATTCCACTTTGTGGAATCCTTGATACCATCTTAACCTCAGTATTTATTTGTAGATACTAGTAATCATCTATAAATCTACAATTTATCACATTAGCAAGGCTTATCATCCATCAACAATAAAAAATATTAAGGAGAAAGTGTTTTTAAAGGCAGCGCTCATGAGTCATTTTCCATGGTCTCTCAAAAATACTGCTGACACAAAAAATATATTGTACACTGAAGGACCAAATAATCTTCTCAAGTTGTATTTATTTTTTTTTGGATGGAAAACATACAGTATTTATCTTTGTAAACAAAGTCTGTCGTGTCTGACACATCTTTTATTTACACTGACAATTACAGCTGAGCAATAAATGAATCCTTGGAAGAAGACAGAATATCATTGAATGACCCAATGTCATCCGAAAACAGAACTTATAGAAAACTGGTTATAATGACTCACAGGGTCCATTTTGCTTGCCTTGAAATGAAAAAAAATGACCTTCTGCATATAATAAAGATTAAGGAACTGGTGATTTGATGCTAAATCATTCTAACCTAGCTAAGTTACAAAGATATGTCATTAGCAGAACAGGATTGCCATATATTTCTTTCAGAAAAGAGAACACTTCCTGATCCAATCAGTCCCATCTTCATTAAAGATCTCCCATCTTCACTAAAGAAGGGGTTCTGATCTCCCATCTTCATTAAAGAAGGGGTTCTGATCTCCCATCTTCACTAAAGAAGGAATTCTGATCTTCTCCCATCTTCACTAAAGAAGGGGTTCTGATCTCCCATCTTCATTAAAGAAGGGATTCTGATCTCCCATCTTCACTAAAGAATGGATTCTGATCTTCTACCATCTTCACTAAAGAAGGGGTTCTGATCTCCCATCTTCACTAAAGAAAGAATTCTGATCTTCTCCCATCTTCACTAAAGAAGGGATTCTGATCTCCAATCTTCACTAAAGAAGAGATTCTGATCTTCTCCCATCTTCACTAAAGAAGGGGTTCTGATCTCCCATTTTCACTAAAGATTGATTGATTGATTGTATACTGTTTAACGCTGTTTAACGTCCCTTTCAAGAATATTTCACTGATATGGAGACGTCACCATTGCCGGTGAAGGGCTGCAAATTTGGGCCTATGCTCGGCATTTTACGGCCATTTGAGCAGGGAAAAATTTCAAATATTTGCCACACCTGCTGTGACAATATATAAAGGATTTATCTTCTCACCTTCACTAAAGGAGGGCCCCATTTAGTCGCCTTTTACGACAAGCAAGGGGGTACTGAGGACCTATTCAAACCCAGATCCCCAAGGGGATTTTCACTAAAGAAGAGGTTCTGATCTCCCATCTTCACTATAGATGGGATTCTGATCTTCTCCATCATCACTATAGAAGATATTCTGATCTTCTCCTATCTTAACTATAAAAGAAATTCTGATCTTCTCCCATCTTCACTATGAAAGGGGTTCTATTCTGCTATTTATGCATTTTATGGCCCCATATATGTAGATTTGGGAAAAATTTCAAATATTTGATTATCTCTTTACAATATATAAGGGATTCTAATCTTCTCCCATCTTCATGTTAGAAGGGATTCTCATCTTCTCCAATCTTCACTAAAGAATTAAGGTTTCTCATCTTCACCCATCTTCACTACAGAAAGGATTCTGATCTTCTCCCATCTTCACTAAAGAATGATTTCTGATCTACCATCTTCACAAAAGAAGGAATTCTGATCTCCCATCTTCACTATAGATGGGATTCTGATCTTCTCCATCTTCACTTT